ACAACCACAACCACAACCACAACCACAACCACAACCACAACCACAACGACAACGACAACGACGACCACAGCAACCACAACGACAACGAGAACGAAAACGACAACCCCCCCTCCAGCTCTCAAAAAGTAAGGGCCGGGTGTCCAACAGAGGTTGGAGGTTAAAAAAGAAAGGTCGGGGGATGTCGGGGGTTTAGAAAAGCAAGGTTGGGGGGTTAAAAAAGAGAGGTTGGGGGGTTAAAAAAGAGAGGTTGGGGCTAGAAAAAAGAGGTTGGGGGTTAAAAAACAGGGTCGGGGGGTTGAAAAAAAGGGTGGAGGTTAAAAAAAAGAGGTTGGGGGGTTAAAAAAAAGGGTTCCCCGCAAGACTTGGATGGGTCGTTCGTTGATTTGGAGAGCGGGATTGCAGGTTTGTTGCAAACTTCTATAGAGATTGGAGAAGAAGCTGTGTCGAGACGATCGATACACCGACATGCGAATCTCCCTCAGCCGTCGGATCGATCGGACCACGATCCCCCCCCCGCCCGGCAGAAGAAAACATTGTCTTGGAAAGCATTGTCTTTTTGGCCCCAAAGCACCCACACGCATACATGTCTTTTCACATGTCGAAGGCAAGCGCTAATTGCTCTATACTAATTGCCGACGGTTGACTTTGCCTTTTAGCATAGTCTATTTGGAAAGAAATTCAAAAATAGGCTCAAGATTGGCCATCTTGGTCCACTTGGCATTTGTTGCCGCTGAGTATCTGGGTGTACGATCACATGCTTTCGCGTCCTTCAGGAATCTGGCAGCTTGCAAGCGGTGCTGCTTGGCGTATTTGGACCTGACCTTGCTCACTGCCCTTCCAAACCTGGAGTGGGCGTTTGGCACGAACTTGGAAATACTCAAACAGTGGGCCCTCGTTGAAATATCCTTGGGTGGCTTTAGTGGAACGCTCAAAAGGAAACTCAAGGGGCAACGCCAAAGAACATATCAGGATATGCTTGAGATGCTTTCAGGGATGCCCCACCCTTCACTCGGGCACGGCCGTTCCCGTCCGTGTAGTGCACAACCATCTCTGCATCCTGCGGCTGCAAGCTGCGATCGGCGAAATCGTTGATCTCGTAGACCTCTGGATGACCTTGGTTGTCAGCTAGCAGCCACCCCTCGCTTCAGGAAGCACCCATATAGCTATGTGACTCATACAACCCGTTTTCTTCAATCCTATATCCACGGCAAAAATGAATGATACTAGAGCTCAGACCTGGCACTGGAGTAGATCCATGTGGGTTTCCGCGTTTTCCCACCGAACCAAAGCATGCTTGTCGTGAGCCGCCGAACTCGCACCCCCGGGAGTCTGAGGAAGGAAATGAACAAGGGGTGTCTCTCAAGCAGGGAATTCACTGGTTGTTCCAGCATCCACCACACCCCTCTCGCTTGGCATAGCAAAAGGAGGATCACCACGCGGGCCACCATGTGGTTTGCGGCCTCCACGCTCTCCAGATCCTCCCGGCCTAGTGGCTGCTGATGAGTTCTTCCAGTGCTCCCCCTTGACCTTGGAAGCGTGGGGTAGGTTCAATGAAGGTTTAGTGTGCAACAGGGTGTCTTGCGTTTCCCCAAAGCCATGTGGATAAAGGTATAAGGTTCAGGGATTGTGTAGGTGCTTGGGGAAAAACTACATAGACGCCAGGGCACAGAAACACCCAGCTTGAACATACCGGTGCAGTCCATTTTCCGGCGCCGGGCTCCAAACGCAGTACTTGATGTAGCATGTTGCAGAACCCCACATTGTCCAGGATGTTCTGACCAGAGCCATCCAGTTCGATGTCCATCGGAACTGCAGATCTCTTAGCCTGTTAGGCCAATGACGTTGTCCCTATAGAAGCTGAACCAACACATGTTTCCCAAATGAACACTGACTCTCAAACTTGAGCTTTAAGCTATACTCCAATGGGCTTGGTGTACAGTTTTCACCTGCGATAAAAATTACTAGTTGAAGATATTGCAACTCGCCTGCCACTCTCCTTTGGTAATGGACATAGCTCCAGAGAAAGTCTCGAGGCGCTGTAGTGGCTCCCAAGCAAGCCCAGTCATTCCAAACATCAAGGATGCCAAGTACAAGACGACCTCTCAAGGACCCCAGGAAAAAACACATAAGTGAGGGTGGTTGAAACTCAAAAGCCACCAAACAAGGTTTTGCATGAGGGGCGAACAGTTTTACACCCCTGGGCTCGCAAAACAAGAGCCACGTTTCATCCGCTTCCCACCATGGGCGCTCGTAAGGACCTGAGCCCAGCGAACGTCCACGCTCGCTGCTTGTCCCTGTAGCTGCGGGCTGGAGGAGGCCGAGAGTTTGGCTTGAATGACATGCTCTTGGCCGTTTTCTTCGCCTTCATGGGAGCACGCTTCATTGCAACTACAGGATTGAAAGCAACGGGATTTGAGCCAATCTTCTCAGTTTGACTGTTGAGCAACTGTACCCTGCAAGTACTCTGACCACCCCATGGAGCAAACTCTGCAACTCAAAAAGGCAGACTTAGTCACCTAGTGTTTTGCGATTGACACCGCTTCATTCAGCCTCTTCGGTGCAGGGTGGAGAGCGTGGAAGCTTAAGCAAAGATCTCCTGGAGCGTTTGGCGGTGGCAGCGCTTGAAGTGCCCAGTGCCACGGACGGAATTATGGGTTGAAATTGGCGCGCAAAACATCAATACCAAACCCTGTGAACTCCAATTGTTTTTGAGCAGGAAAACAATAAACGCACTGCAGTGGCTCCTCCACACCTTTGGTGTCACTGGTGGGCGGTCCAAACAATTGGCCTTGGCAGGTTGTTTTCGTGTCACGCGCAACCCGGACTGAACTACTTTGTTCACTCTTCTATGTAGTTCCCTTTAAATCTGGTCTATGCGTGGGTCCTCAGCGACGACCAAAACACCCCACGCAAGCCTCCAAGTTCAGAGCCCTCCCCAAAGTGGAAGAGTGCCTGCGAGACACTTGTTTCACCAAAGCTGGAAAGAGAAAACTTGTTTCTGTCGATCCGGAAATAGGTCTTAGGATAGCAAGAAACGGCTTGTTTCGGACACCTAAATTGGATTGATTTCATACGTCGGTTTGTGAGGCACACCCCTCCCATCTCGCCTGCGTCAAAGCAGCGGCCAACTGCCCACGTGGAAGTGTAAGAAGGCCTTGGGAAATGAAATTGGTGATGTGGAACCGGATATCCTACCTCAACGTGTTATAAATTACCTTTTGATGCCTGAACATTCGCCATGCCTCCTCAAGCAAAGATCGACATGTTGAACAGTTATAAGACGGTATGCAATCGGGAATAATCTAAGGAGGTCGAAGAGCGTGATCGATTTCACCAAGCTGCTGACACTCGGCTGCTAGTTTTCGTGAGTGATGCGAAAGGCGTCCACAGCTTGGCTACGCTGCGCGCTAACCCCTATACCCGTGGAAGCTTGTTCAAAGCTAGCCCAAGTCTTTCACCTCCACCCTTGGGAGATGTTCTAGACTCTCTGTTCACAGAGACCCCAAACAAAACTCACTTAGTACGGCCAATTTGCACGTTGCTTGGCCTGTTCCCGCGCAGCAGCGACCGACTCACACTTAGCCCAAGTCAGCTGACCTTTCGATGCCTCTGGACCAGGCTGAGGTTCTTGTCCAACACGTTTGATCACAAATGCCCGTGCTTTGCACAGCACCTCGATTGCCTCAGATGCGAGAAACCCAACCTTGTTGAGAACCACCCCAAACACAGTTACACCGCTGGACTAATCATGGAAGCACGACCATAAAAACTTGACCGACCCTTGTTTGGAACAAGGAACGGCTCCATTGCAAGAGGTCAAGGTGTACCCAAACTTGCCCTTACCCGGCGCACGTGGCCATGCAGCAGATGGAACCCCCAACTCCTTCAAGTCAAACGTTTGAAAAATGTGGGCTGGAGCATAGGTTGCAGTCGCTCCCTCTGCCTCACCCTTCGCATTCTTGACGCCTTTTGCCTCAGCCGGTGCGGAAGGCGGAAGTCAACACAAATTAATACAACGTTTTTTTACACTGACACGCTGAACCAGAAAAACCTGCGACACTTACACTGACCTGCTGAAAAAAGAACAAAGAATCATGAACGACAAACTGTTGATAGCGACGCAAGTTGCTGTTTGCAGACCGACTGGGGCTGGGGTTAGCTCCTCCGACTCAAATGCTTCTTTAATGGATTGGCCTTGAGGAGGTGTCTCTAGCTCAGGCAATTTGCACGCCGTAGGGCCACCCAAGTTCTTGCCAGTGGACTCCTCACTAGACTTCAAAGCCTTTTTCAAAGGCGAGTCCTGTGCGCCACGGGTGCCACATAATCGTCACATGCTACAAGTCTCGCTGCCACTATCTAGTTTGTCTTGATCGCCCGATGGCCCAAACAAGCTACTAAGCCCTAAGCGCACAACCAAACACATTTCAGAGAACAGTTGGGACCCACACCAAACACGATTCCTCGTGATCCGCAAAGGAAAGCTTTCGCTTCACCAGCTCGACCTGACCAGAAGGAGCACCACGCATGGCCGATTCAATCGCCAGCTCCGACAGCTTCTTGCGCAAGCCCTCTGGAGGAGGTGGTGAGGCACCTTTGAACTCCTCCTGGAACAGGGTGGCATGGAAGCAAGCAAGAAATCATTTCAAGTGAACCAAGCCTATCAACATTCCAGGAATGAATAACATCACACCAATCTGTTGAACAACTTTGCAAATTGACAGTCCTCCAACTCCTTCTTCGGGATCAAGCGATTATGGTTGTTGGCCATGTAGCGCTCCTCCCATCGCTGGATGTGCTCCTCCGTCGAAAGCCAGTATGTGGCTTTGAGGCCGTACTTCTCAAAGGCCCACTCGCAGTGATCCATGTAGTCTGCCAGGTACGGCTTCCTGAGGATGAAGCAGGAGTGGCAAAGGAATGCAAGAGACACTTTTGGGAGGGGGTTGAACCATGCCCCTCAAAACCTGAGACAAGCTGACTGAAGCACAATCAAATCAAAGGCGCTTCGTGATTTTTGAGCCTTCTGCGCTCAAATGCTGCATCAACGCAATGCACATCTCCACCACCACTTCTCGTGGAAAGCCTCCATGCCCATAAGGAGGCGACTCCCACCTGTAAAGGTCCCCAGGCACTTGGGCCCTCCTGAGAGTCCTGCTGGCTGTCGACGCAAACAACTTCAGACGCTTCGCAATCATGGTCTTCGCCCTCGTCACTGGAGCAGCAAGGCATCCTCTGCCGGCGCCTCTGCTGGCGAAGGAGCGTCCTCTACCGGCGAGGGCTCATGGAATTCAGCCGCTGAATCCATGTCATCATCAACCTCGTACTTCTCCTTTTTGTATTGCGGTTCAAGGTCCTCAGCGACAACTTCCTCATGTCGGCGCTTCCTTGGCTTTGTCTCCTCAACACGGGATCGAGTTGGAGATCGCCTCAACATGTTCTTCAGGTAGGTGATCTGCGGATGAGCCCCAAGCTTGCCTCGATTGGAAAAGAATCTTGACCACAGACCCTGCAGACTGTCAGCCTAGATTGCCAGCCCTTCCAAAAAGCGCAAAAAGCATAACATCATACAACTTTAAACACTAAACAAGACACTGGAACGCCACAACGATCGGAGCGAACCAATCAAGCGTTTCACATTGGACGCTTCATGCGCAGCAAGCGAAGCCTTGGTCTCCCCCTCGTTTCTTGGTTGGCAATAGAGAAAGCAATCTGTGACAAAAAATCCACTGGGCACTTTGTCTGGCGAGAATTTCACGAAAGGTGCCACCCAAGCAAAGTTCAGCTTGATGTCTTCAGCGGTAGGGCGGGTCAGGGCGTCCAGTTGTGTCAGGGCACCACCCAACCAATCTTTGCTGGTCAGCGCCTGGGCAACCGGCAAAGGTAAATTGGTCTTCAAGTCATAGGCCACCTTCCGAACGGTCTCCTCATCCCACTCAATTTTCCCAGGTCCTGGGGCCGGCTTGTTTTATTTACCCTACTTATATAACTACACGGGTAAAAGTTGAACCACCTGCCCGTATTCTTCCCCAAAAACCTCAAACAAATTACAAAACAAACGCTCAAAGGTAGTGCTATATAACAAACGGGGAGCTGACACTCTTCCAATTTGAGAGTAGAGCATCCGCCATAGACTGCTCCATGGCCATCCTACAGCCCTAAAGAGCAACCCTCAAGTCGTGAGCCGGCGCCTCCTGCGTAAAAGTTTTCTCTGTTTTTTTGAAGCTCTTTGCAGAACAAAGCGGTTTAGCGCAGAATAGTAAACAGGTTTTTGAATGACACTTACGACCGACCAGATTAAAAAACAGGTGTAGACTGCGCAACGTACACAAGGGGTTGTGAGTTTGAGGGCGCTGCGCGTTGAAGCTGCCGGCGATCCAAGGACAGAGCTGGCCAACCTCATGTGGGCTGGGCTCGACTGAGCCGCTGCGCTTTGTGGAAAAAAAAGGTGAGTACATCTGAGTACCTGACGTCCATTGGCAAGGGCATTCCCACCGCCCAGCATCCACAAGCCAAATGGCTTTGGGGGGTCACGCGCCTCTTTAAAAAAACGAAGCAGAGAGCGTTTTGGTTTGGCCAACATGATTTAATGACACCCAACACGAGATCCACTGACATTCAGCCAGCACCTTGACCGAGAAAACGCGCAAAAGTTGTTTCATAAAGTATATTTGAAAATGGTAGCGGCTCAAGTATTGCTGCCACCCATTTTCAATTTCAAGTGCCATACTTTTTCCCCAAAAGACTTGGTCGAAGGGCTCTTCCTAAAGGGACTTGGTCTGTCTAGCTCAGGGCGTCTAGCACTTCCAAATCTTGCAAAAGCTTTAGCGCTTGTGAGACTTTTGCTCAGGCTTTAGCACTTGTAAGGGTCTAGCGCTTGCAAGAGACTTGATCAAGTTTTTTTTACACATGCTGGCATCTGCATCGTTTTGAAGCCCAGAATCTACAGGAGCGCTGCAGGGTCTCCTTGTATACGCGGCCTCCACCTTCAAGCGGCTGTCGGGGTTCTGCTGCCGCTGTTCGGTGACTTGCTGGTATAGAAGGCCAGCTTCTCCTCCGAGGACAAACCCGCCGGCCACGA